CAGACGCAAGCAGCCCGATATCTCCGTCGTCAATGTCGCAGCTCCTGTCGCCTCCCGCCTCGCCCGTCAGCCTTGGCAGCAGCAGCAGCAGCAGCCGGAGCAGCAGCAGAAACAGCAGTCTCGGCCGCGACCGCAACCGCAACGGCTCGCGGCAGCAACATGCCTCGGTGCAAATCCACCAAATCGAGACGCGGAACCCGCACCTGCACGACAACAAGGGCGACGAGCACGTCAGCGACATGCGCGCGCAGGCGCTGCACATGCTGTACCACTCGCCCATGACGCCGGCGCCGATGAAGGCGGCGCTGCGCAAGTGGATGGAGGACGAGGGGGTGTTGGCGGTTGGGGAGGAGGTGCCGCGGGAGCGGGTGTATCCTGCGCTCGGGGAGCTTGATATGGCGAGGCTGGCGGGGTTGCTGGGCGGGGAGAGTGTGAGGAGGATGGTTGGGGGGTTTCCTTGACCATTCCATTTGTTGTATTGTGTCTTTCTTTTCTTGTAGTTCTCTTTTATTTCCTTTGTCTTTACTCTTATAGATACTTAGATTCTTCGTTGAGATAGACATAGCGTTCTGGGGTTTGGTTTTGTTGCAGCTTAGGTTTTTAGCATTAGATAGATATCACCAATGAACAAGAGATACCATTTCGTCTTGATTCTTTGTCTCCAATGTGTTATTGTCTACAACTTTCACGAGTGATGACGAAAAGACAGTAGAATTCTGACAGAAGTCAAGGACTGTCAAACGGCCGTAGCCGTGCTTCTAGAAGAGGGGGTCCGGCAACTTGCATCGGGTCACCTGCCTTCTGACGGATGCGCTCCGGGTTTCAGTGTGTCGAGAAATTTAGGAAAACCCGTTTAAATCCGGGACATGCTGTATTCTTTCTGCATTATCCTTTCCTGGCAACTGCGGAGGAAACGTGGGGGCCGCAATGCGGGAATGATCATTGATGGTTGACGATTGATGGGATATGCAATGCGGGGCTGCTCCTCCGGTACCTTACGGCCGGGTAGCACAGCTGCCCTCGCACTCGATTATGCACGAAATCCGAGAATCTGCATGGTGGTAGTTTCGCGCGCCGTTACTGTTCGACCACGGCCGCGCCGGGGAAGGGGGAGGGTTGTTTGCCGGGATATGCAATGCGGGTTGTATGACTTGGGGTTGTTTGGTACGGCGTCCTATTGGTGAGGAGTGAGGAGTGCGGATGAAGTGTCTCACTTTGCCTTGTCTTGGCTTTGTCTTATTTTGGCTTTAGTTTGACTCTTGTCCGACATCTTACTGCGAGAATTAGTTGGGGTCGACTTCTGGGTTTGATGACAGGCTGCCTTGCTGCATATTTGCCGAGAGTTGAGGGAAGAGTTAGAAGAGCATTGGATGTCGAAGTTAGGCTATCCAGCCGTTTAGTCGAATACGACTGCCTTCGTCTCAGAGCAGTGTGAGGCCAGAGGTGGTTGACAAAAATCTGATTGAGGTACGAGTGGCCCGGAAATATTTCTATTGTTTGTATGTAGAGAGGAATTCTATATTGGTGGTGCTGGGAATGGTCCATTCGCAAGGGATAAGTCGGATGCTCACTTGCGTTGGTTGCTGGTCTGTGGTTGAGACTGAGATAGCCTCAAGGAAGGGGATGAGTAGGTGGTGATCGCTTCGGGGCTTGTAAAGATTTCTAGGGAGTTTTTAGCAGCAAATAAGACATGGGTCAGTTGTGTGCTTCTGAAGTTTGTTGTTTGTAAAATCGAAAGAACACCACCGCGATCTCATCTTGATCATTTACTGCAAGGCATCGGTGAAAAAATTCATTAAATGACTGGATGATGAATCGACGGTTCTAGCCGTATCATCAACCTCACGCCACACTTTGTCCATCTAATCCTTGTAGTAGGAATTGAGAACGTCTAGAAAAACACGTGAAAAGGCTCCCAACCAGCTCCAGGCGACCATCACTTCATCAAACCTTGACCCAAACCTTCAACCCCATCCCGGCCCTCCTCGTCTTCACCATCTTCGCCGCACACCAAAAACACATACCAGCAAGCAAACAAGACCCCGCATACACCTGCGCACCCACATACCTCCCCCCCTCAGCCTGAATAATCGCCCCAGCAATCGGCGGACCCGTCAACACTGCAAAACTTACAATCGTAAACGTCATACCCATCCGCGTCCCCTGCTTCCTCGGATCGCTCGTCAACTGGCTCAGTGCCGAAGGGAACAGGCTCTGGATCGCGCTGGCGACGAGGCCGTAAAATGGGGTCCAGACGTAGAGACCTGCTGTCGAGGAGACGGCGACCCAGCAGTACATGAGGATGCCAGAGGCGAGGGACATGGGGATGAGGGTGTTTATGGAGCCGACGCGATCGGCGATGTAGCCGGGGAGGATGCGGCCCGGTACGCCGACGCCATTGAGGACGAGGAGGAGGTTGAGGGAGGCGTTGTAGGAGAGGCCTATGATGTCGCGGGTGTAGGAGGCTAGGTAGTAGAATGCGAAAAAGACGCCTAAGTAATTCTGTGATAGGGTGAGTATGGGGCCCTGGGAGACTGATACCGAGTTAAAGAGGAGGTTATTCGAGACAGCTTACTAGGAAGGACCCAATGGCGTAGAAAGTGTACTCCAACTCTTTGAAAGCAGCCCACTCGACGATGCTCCCGGCTTTCCTGGGCTTGACTCTCGGCTTCAGGAAGATGAAGCTGATGATCAGCGTGCCGGCCTGCACGAACGCGATAGCACGGATGGTCCACCCGAACCCAATACTTGGAAGCAGCTGCCTCACCATGCTAGGATAGATCAACCCGCCCGTCGAGCTGCCAATCGACACGAACCCCAGCGCGAGTGCCCTTTTCTTGTCGAAATAGGTGGACGCCGTCGACAGGGCGGGACAGAAGAGCAAGCCGTTGCCGAGGCCTAGGCAGATACCCTGCGAGAGGAATAATTGCCAGTACTGCGAGCAGAAGGAGGTTGCGAACATGCCGAGGAACACGAAGAGGAAACCGGCGATGAAGAGGTGGCGAAAGTAGCCTGCGTCTGTGAGGCGGCCGCTGAAGGTGCTGATGAAGAAGAGGAGGAAAACCTCGAAAGAGCCGATCCAGGCTATGTCTGACGGCGGGCGGCCGAGAAGAGTGGTGTAGTAGGATTGGAAGACGCCGAATGAGTTGACGATGCCCCTGCGATTTGTTAGTTTGGCTGGATGTACACAGCTTATGATGGACTCACCAGGTATTCATAATGACCAGATGGGCGCTGAAGACTGGTGGAAGTTAGCCTCATGAGCCTAGGGTTCATGGCACGCAGCAACTCACTCGCCATCCATGCGGTGACGCCCCCGTCAGGAGGCGGACCTTGTACAATACTGGACCTGGACGTAGCCCGACTGAGCACCCGGCCCACGATCCCGCTGGCCTCGGCGCCGGCCCCATGCCCAGCATCCGTGTCCGGGTCCGTGTCCTGCGCCACGATTCCCGGCGGGTCGTCGTCCGATGAAGACGACGGCAGCGCCTTTTCGTCGCTGTGTACGGCTTCCTTCATGCGAGCATTATCGTCGTCATGAGGGCGCAACTCCATCGTCTGCTGTGGCCCTGACTTTTCGACATCATAGGCGATGTGAGGAGGGGAAGAGCTCATGATTTCCCTTTTGCCCTATTCCGGAGAAGCGCGCCAATCGCAATGCCGAGACACGGGTATCGCTCCGATCTCGATAACTTAAGCGGCTTCTTGTACAAGCTTTCGCAATGTCGTCATGCTTCAGTTGCCGAATCCATAAAACTCCTGCTAAGCAATCAATAGCCGACGCAAACAGAAATGCTCAAGAAACATGAAGAATGAAGAGATCAGTAGGGGTGTCGTCGCAGAAGCAAAACTGTTTCAACGGCGCCAAAGCCTCAAGCGCGCCCACCCTAGGCCCTTAATACCGTAGGTACTTGGAAAGCGTCGCTGCTTGCTCGAGTCATGGCGGCGCTGAAGCGACACTATCGATCACACCTAAATGATTACCCATCCCCGGCGCCGACCCCGGCCGCGGGCAAGCTGCATTCTGGCCGGGTGTTGGAGAACAAGGAAAGCAATCCACTTTGAATCACACGCAATCCGGGGGGCGGTAAAGTGGGTGGAGACGAGTTGGCAAGCCCCTTTGCAGCTGTCAAAGAGAATTGTCGAGTATCACTCCATATTGTCCGTACGTATGGGTATGTGGTTTGCACTTGTTTGCGATTGTGAATGCGACTGCGACTGGGAATCATTGCCCGGGGGCTCGGGGAGGCGTAGGCGAGCTGCTGAACATATCGAATAAAGACATCGGGACGTCAATCCGCCCGCTAGTGTGGGTAAGGTGGGATAAAATCGGCGAAACGGCCTGGCTGCTTTGGTGGCCCCATCGAGATCAACGCTTGTCACCGGCCGGTTCCGGCTTTGGCTGCTTGCTGATCGGAGCTGGACCGCTCCGAGGCATCTTCAACTTCGGAGATGGGCCCCAAACGAAACGTGATGGACAATGATTTATCGAGATTCTTGATGTGAGAGGCAGCAGGGAACAGGGCTGCTCTGTTGGCGAAGTAGTTGATAGGGTGCGTGGATGGAAGAGAGAAGCTTCCTGGCCTGCCCTGTCCTGGAAGTGGAGGTGAAGGTGTGCCGTTGGCATCAGCCACAGCCCGGTGTGGACGCGGACCAAATCCGGTGCCCAGCCACATTTGGCGACTTGGACTCTACGGCTTCACACGGAAAACTTACAACTCACCACAATATTCACCCCCCGATCTGGGAAAATAAGAGAGTCTGACTTCATATCGCCCAGACCTGACGTCAGGACCTTCGACATTTCTCTCCAATCGACCGCCTCTTTTTGACCATAACTCCGATTTAATAAAGATGCAAACACTTTTAATAAAAACGAGCTCGCGCTTAACACTATAGCATCTTTACCTATACTTTCACCACTACCCCCACTCCTACTGCCATTCCTCTTCTAATCTTCCTTATCCTTGGTAGTTCATCCTCTATGTATTCCCTACAGAATACACACAAAGGCTCGGACGTTGAAGAATAGGCTAGGGTTAAAACACACCGTTCTGTAAGTTACTTAAGGCATACGCTTCCGACCTATTTTGCTAAGTCACACCAGGGTCGTAAACGTAACTCGACGCCTTAAGAACGCTAAGAGAGCCGAAATCACTAGTAATAACACACAGCTCCTCCCACAAGTCGATCCCGACAATCTCCTTGACGTAGAGGGTGTTCCAGCCACTCTGGGCGACTTTTGGTCGATGGACGGGATGTATCATGTTTGACTCAGATGCCTAGTGCTCGGTACTAATACCACACAGAACGCGACATTCGCCAGCTCGCCACGAACCTTGGAATGGAGTCGGACAAGGTCGCATACCCCAAGCTCATGCAACAAGCGTTTGAGCGGATTGCCGGGGCTTCTTACTGAAATCATGACATAGACGACAACTCCCGCTCCTGGCGGTCGAGTAACCCCCCCCCCCCTAAACAACTATAAATTGTGCGCGGGCAAAGGAATGAACGAGTGTTTCTTTTTAGTCTTTTTTTAGTTTCTTAGCCGAACAGAGTCGTGGGTTTTTGGCACCAACAAGACTTTGTATGTTTGAAGATGTGACTGCGCCACAACTTGTATGCTTGCGCATTCGATTCCGATAGTCATCACGATAAATCTGGAGAGTATCGTGAAGATCAGGGAGAACCTTTAGCCCTGAGTTGGATTATCTTTTGGAAGACCGTGGAGCCGGCACGAACGGCCTCTGTTAGCCTTATATAAACCCCATCTTTCCCCTATCTCGTCCCCTTTTCCTTTTCCTCTCCAACCACCTCACTACCATCGCCTTGGCATTTCTTTCTCTGCAAGCATTCTCAATCAAGATCACAAAATCAACCAGGGACTGCAGCACGAACAACCTTACTATATCTACCACGGGCTATGACTAGGATAACGCTATCCGCCTTTTCCGAGACGATCTAGCTAAGGCTTTTACCGACTTTACTAGCTAGGTATAGCGATAGCAGGCTATGATTAAGACGCTATTTAAAGAGGATCGCGAGCTATTTTCCGGGGTGGGTTTTTATTATACCGTTAAATAGGTTTAATTATATAACTAAGAGCTAGTTTTGAAATACGATTTTAAAGTCTTTAGCCTATTTTCTCTTAAGTAGGTAATTTAGTCCTTTGCCGCTTTATACTCTAGCTCTACTATAACTCTTTTTATTATTAACCCTGGTCTTGCTATATTTATTAATTCTACCCCTCCTGTTGTGCTTCGTCTTTTGTGTATTCGTTAGCGAATATACTTACGTGGAAAAACATAGAGGATATTGAGATGATATTAATAAATCCTATGTTAATTTATTATCTAACTCTTTTATCAATCGCAAGCACTCCACAACTCACGGCACCACCCAAAGATTCAAAGGCGTTCATAATAAACCACTGCGTCAAACAAGTCGATATCCTTACATAAGAGAGGCTTCCAAGACTACTTGACTCCTAATTTGTCACTCGCTAGATTGTTCCAACGGCCTTGAAACCAACAAAGCAATGACGCGCATCTCGTTCCACGGCAGTTCTACGCCCGCGCCGGCCCTCGCAACAGCAACTGAAGTCTGCCATGGAGAAACTCACCGCAGAAGTTACTAAGTTCATTTTGGATGTGTTAGAAATGGATAGAGTAGATAGAACAGAACGACTTTTGCAAGTATCAATGTGCCTTCATACCCATGTAACGGTGGCGGGACGTGCATGCCCAGACATCCAGCTCCTATCGACCCCTTGGGGGTCCCCCGGGGCTTTCCCAAGCAATCCCTGTGTTCCTCCCAGGAGTGCCATGTGAGCGGATGATTCCTCCACGTGACTGCACGGGTGAGAGATTGCGAGGTGGTGGCTGTAGCCTTGCCGTACCTTCCACACCTCACCTCACGTCCCCACAAGGCTGCCACCAACGACGCCCTTCTATACACTCTCAACATTGTTCCGGTCACCAGCCAGCAGGCGCCCGTCTAGGTAAACTGGCTGGGTGGTGGAGTAGTTAATAGTCCGACATAATTATCAACGCCAACCAGCCTACACGACGACAGGTTTAGCACAGACGAGTACCCGAGTTCTAACCCCAGCATGCCACGGATGTCAGAAGCAAAATTCGGGGTCGCGTCTTTGACCACTGCAACAACAAAAAAAAGGTGCCCCAGCCTAGCAAGGCACCCAAGAGACGAATCGCCGCCAGCACCGTCCACATCGGAACCCTGACCCAGGATGCGCCGCTCGCGCACAAGCGCAATCGGAAACGTCCCACTGCCGTGCCGAAGCAGCGCCGCGCCGGACAGCCGGTCTTCTTGAAGATCAAGCTCGAGATGAAGAGTTTAGCGACTTGGCCAGATATCTCCTTCAAATTCTGTGATGCCAAAAGATCCGACTTCCCGACCGCAACCTCGTCCACGCCAAGCAGGAAGTTACCAGCCAGTGGGATATCGCCGAGCTCCGACGTGTTGAACGCGCGAACGTGGATTTAGTGGTATATTGGACTCGCCAGGAGTTGCTGTCCTCTCTGGCCCCTGAAGCAGCCGACGCGCCTCGCCTCGCGGATCAGCTGGGGAACAAGATGGACCGTGAGTCCGCTGACAACTCCAGTCTCACGCACATCTGGCTTTGTATCGATGGCTGGAAGGGAATCCAGATGGCCTACTTGGCGTACCAGCAGCAGGGCCCTGTTGTGGGTGGCATACACGTGTGTAAGTCGGCGTCTTTCAGATTTCTCCCGATGGCAGACCTCGTACTGGTTTGAATCCTCAGAGGCTGATAGCTAGCTGTTTTCTCAGTTTCTCGGTTCAACTTCACAGCCGCTGCATACTTGGCTGATTCTTTCTGTGACGATACATCCGGACCCCAGAGAGAATAGAGACCCTGATTTATGCCTTTGCCTCCGAGACTTGTGTTATTCATTCGTCATGCTTAAGTTAGTGCAAGCGGGAACTCGTTTGCGCAAGGTGTTAGCGGCAACTGTGGCGAGCCGGGGACACACCCGGGGCCGAAGCGTTGGCGGTGCAGCATGCTGAGCATCCCGAGCATGCTTCGTGTCACTGGCCACCTCGAAAGGATGAGTCCTGGCAAAAGCTGTCCCGTAGAAAGAATGGCAAGCAGAATTGGCGATGCGAGAGGCGGTAAGGCTAAGACGAAGGACGGAGACTTGATTGAGTTTGAGATGCCGATCCTGGACAAAGGTCGCAACCCCAAGTGGACATATGTTGTTTGCTGTTTGCACATGCAAAAACCTCAAGCATTGGACTGACGAGGGACATCCTGCCACTTTGTGCCCCGAGCCCTGCACTCGCCCTGAGGGATAATGCAAGACAATTGTGGTATCTGGTGCGTGTTCAAGCTTGTCTGATCTGAATGTTGACCTTTTTCTTTTGCCGTGGAGAATCTGTTGACATAATCGTGGTTCAGGTGGAACCAAACACGGCAGGTGGTCTCTAGGGTACCTGGCTGTCGTTGAATTTGGAAAGCACCATTGAATGATGCAGGTATTAATTACTTGTCGCGCCCCGCACGGCACGCCGGTGCAACTCCAACCTCACCTCACCTCACCTCACTTCACCTTACCTTACCTTGAACGACTACAAGCCCGACTTGTATCGCGAGACTTTCTCTCAATCGGTCGAAAGGTTCCGTCACAGTACTTTTCAACTTTTTATTCCACATCCCGGCATTTCGGTCACCTGGAGGCCGATTTCCCGACCACCTCAGCCCCAGCATCTGCCAGGCAGACGAGGCCAATCAAGAGGCCGTTGGGCTGACTTCTCCTTGGCATGCCGTTTACCTTTGACGGTTGTCTTGGGACCCCAGCCCGCATAGCTCTCCTATTCGTCGCGGGAGCAGCCGCATACTTTGGCGTTGACGGCCTCCCGCTTCTTCGCTGCAGGGTGCCCACAACACCATTACCACTCTCCTATCAACACGCGATGCAAAGCTCGTCCAACGACGACTCGTAAGCCCTGCGACGGACAAGAACCACGAAACCCCCAGCATCATACGTCCGACATGGCCAATCAATTTTCTAGCCTCTGTTCGGTTGGTACCTGGGCCCTTACGCAGAGAGCCTTCCTGAAACTGCTGCATGGTCCTTCCTTCTGCTGGAAATGCCATCCACGGCTTTGTCTGATTGATGAATGAGACCACGCGGAAGCTGACTGAACCATGTCCTAGAGTCGGTCCCTCATAAGGACGAGGCTTCTCTCGCATCCGATAATGCCCCCTCTGCCGACCTGTCTTTCTGGATCACTTCAGCCCTTGGACACTCTGGAGCGAATGCTTGACACCAATCATCGCCAAATATCTCGACAGTAATCACTCTACCAAGCGCCTAAAGATGTGGAAAAATGGCAGGTGAGTCATGGCAACCGCCTCGATCTATAACTCGTCGTCTCGAAGCTAACGTCCATCGTGCGCTAGGAAACGCCCGGGACCGGCTTCGTCTACAAACGGTCCATGCTCCTATTACCTGAGGACTGGAGCCTGTGGCTATGGCCCAAGGTGCAGATTCTCTCATGATACAGGCAACAAGCCCGACCGTGGAGAACAAGGTCAGTGGCGAATTAGCAATCTGTCACCCGACGACACACCAGCGAATGCCGGACGAATTGATGGCCGGACCGCCAATGCCCCGAGCCGAGCCCGTAACCCGGAGCGTGAGCGGCTGTTCCAGTGGAAACGACTTCGACCTCAGCCGAGACAGGTGTCGCTTCTCTGGGACGATACTACGTCGAACTTCTTCCGCACTGCTATCAGTCTGGTGGAACAAGATGTGAGCCTGGCGCAAGAGGTCGTCAAGGAGATGGCCGCTGACGGTCGGCTGCCGCTCGTCAGAGATGTCATTGAGGGAGCCGCTTCAGCTAGAACGCCCGAGGCCAAAGCTCTTCTCTGGGAATCGCGTATTTCGCCCCTGTTCCGAGTCTTGCTCCACCCGACTGTCGTAGACTCGGTGGTTCTCGAACAGGAAACGGCTGTGCTCTATCGATTGCTCCTGGGAGTTGACGCCACACGCCTGAAAACCCTCTTCAACTTTGTCTTCGATGTCGTTGATCACTGGTACGAGTTGCCTTTCGAAGACACGGCTGTTTCTGCCATGGAAGCACTTGCTCTATCCTGCGGCGTCTTAGCCAAGGTTATCAACACCAGCACCTCGAATATTGTCAATGCCCTCTTTCACCCCATTGTCGAAGGAATCAAGCTGCGATTAGATGTTTTCGGCAACAAAGATAGCGACTTCCATACCCTGCAAGCAACAAGGCATCTCGACTATGTTTACTGTCGCCTGGGTATCGGCCAAACTCTGGTCGACGCTGTCCATATCTCGGCTTCTTCTGGTGCCGTGGCCGAATTCACTCTCAGCCAGGATTTGCCTGGAAAACTTTCCAAACGCCGCGAGCGCCACGACAATGACCACCAGGATATTTCGGATATCAAGCTCATGCCTACCCACCAAGAAATCATGTCTTCTCGAGATGAATACTTGCCGGTCGCCAACCCCGCACAACACCACTTGCAAGGCCTGCGAGGTTTGCTAGATCGGCATTTCCGCCTGTTGCGCGAGGACACACTCCATGATTTACGAAGCGCCATTCGCACAACCGTGGAGTCAAATGTCAAGGTGCGAGATATTCGGACACGAGTCGTTGCCTACGACAACGCCTTTGCTGTTGACATGACCTTCGACAGATGGTCAGGTCTTGAGTTCATTATCCAGATTGACCAACCCCGACCGACAAGAGGTTTAGACAAATTGCAACGCGGCACTTGGTGGGCAGGAAAGAAACTCATGGATGGAGCTCTTGTTTGTATTGTTGATGAAGTGGGTGGTATTTTCTTCTTCCAGGTCTCAAAGTCGACCATCAGAACTCCCAAAGATGAGACCCAGCAGGGTCAAGGAGACAACCAAGAGGAGGATAAGAACGATGCACCGCGCTACAGTCTGCTAGACGATGAAAACCACGCATACGTACATCTACATCTCGTCGACACAGGAATCGACGAAATCAAGAGATCTCTCAGGTGGTTCAAGACCATGCAGATCGTCCGCCAGCATCGTCGTCTTCTCGAATTCCCGTCTATCCTACTGGCTTCTTTCACCCCTCCGTTGAAGGCATTGCAAAACATGTCAAAGACCCTGGATCTCCCTTTCCAAGACCTCCTAACGCTTCGTGCTGGGAGTCGAACAGCGGATAATCCTCCCCCACTCTACTCCAGGCGACCTGATTTCTCTTTCAATCTCAGCTGCCTGTCGACTGATGGCAGGAAACTTTCATACACTCCCGGCGACGCGATCAATCCATCGCGTCTAAGCAGGCACTCCAGTCTTGATAAGACTCAATCCGAGGCCATTCTCAATTCACTCAGAAGATCCTTCGCCCTGATTCAAGGTCCCCCGGGTACAGGGAAGAGCTATACCGGAGAAGCGCTCATCAAAGTCTTGCTTGCCAACAAATCGAAGGCAAAGCTGGGGCCCATCATGTGCGTTTGCTACACCAACCATGCTTTGGACCAGTTGTTGGAGCATCTTTTGGATGGTGGTGTCCAGAATATTATTCGCATTGGCTCCCGATCAAAGTCTGACAGGTTGGCTCCTGTAAATTTGAGAGCGGTGGCTCGAGACATGACCCGCACGGCTGCCGAAAGTCGGGCTCTTTACAAATCTGTCGAGACTTTGGACGGCGACACAGGACAGATTCGCGGTACGCTTTCGGATTTCATCTTCAGCAGAGACAACGAAAAGATTCGTCTTCACCTTGCCGAACACTATCCTGCCCAACACGAAGAGCTGATGGGGCCAACCTTGCCGAACTTTGATGATGAAAAAGAGAGATGGCAGACTGTATCCTACTCACGCGGCAATGTATTCAAGAGGTGGCTCGCTGGCGGCGCGCCTACCAATACGACGCGCCCACTTCGGCGCTTGCGCCAATTGAAGCTAGCCGACCTCTACCATCAGGAACGTATCCTGCTCTACCAAGAATGGCTTGATGAAGTGTTGAGAGGAGAGATTGATTCGCTGTCGAACATGCACAAGGTTTACCAGGAACACAAAGAGAACAACAACAAAATCAGGAGCTCCATTGATCTGCGTTGTCTTCAAGAAGCGAACATCATTGGTGTTACAACCACCGGTCTCGCCACCAATCTTGACCTTCTTCGACGGGTGCACGGCAAGGTTCTTGTGTGCGAGGAAGCGGGCGAAGTTTTGGAAGCCCATCTTTTGACCGCGCTCCTGCCGACTATTGAGCACGCCATTCTGATCGGGGACCATCTTCAGCTACGCCCTCAGATACAAGACTGGAGACTCCAACGAGCAAACCCGGCTGGCGTCAAATACTCCCTAGATGTGTCACTCTTCGAGAGACTTGTTCAACCACCTCCAAACGTACCGAGCATCCCGTTCAGTGTCCTCGATACGCAACGTCGGATGCACCCATCGATAGCGGAACTAGTACGATCAACATTGTACCCATCTTTGTCAGACTCTGAAAACGTGCAAGACTACCCCGAGATCCCAGGCTTGGCTCGGAGGCTGTTCTGGCTTCACCACGAAAGCCCAGAATCGGGGGGAAAGTCTGATCAGGACTCTGTTGAGACGTCATACTCCAACAATTTCGAGATTGAGCTTGTCTCGGCGCTTGTATCGCATCTGTTAAGGCAGGGTGTATACAAATCTGGGGAAATTGCCGTCTTGACACCTTATTTAGGACAACTGAACAAGCTGCGACAGAAGCTCAGCTCCGTCATGCAGATCGTCATCAACGACCGGGATATGGATGATCTTGCTGAGATGGAACCTGCTTCTGCTGCCCAAGGCAGCTTCACGAACGTGGGACAAGCCGCGAAAACAAATGCTCTGAGCGGTGTTCGAGCCGCAACGGTCGACAATTTTCAAGGCGAGGAGGCCAACGTTGTCATTATCTCACTTGTCCGCAGCAACAACGACAACAGGTGTGGATTCCTCAGTACTTCTAATCGCATCAATGTTCTGCTGTCTCGGGCTAAGCACGGCATGTACATCATTGGCAATTCACATACCTCGAGCCATGTCCCGATGTGGGCGCAAGTCACGGAAATCCTTCAGAACGGTGGCAACTTCGGCAACAGGTTGGAACTACAATGCCCGCGACACCTTCAGAACAAGAGCTTTGTGTCACAGCCCGAAGATTTCCTTCGATTTTCTCCGGATGGTGGGTGCAAACTCCGGTGTGACCGTCGGCTCGCATGCGGCCACGCCTGTACTGGCCCTTGCCACTCCGACCACCTCCACAACGCCATCAAATGTCTCGAGGACTGTGCCAGGCCGAAGGTGAATTGCGACCACCCATGCCGCCGACGCTGCGGAGAGCCTTGCGACAAGCTTTGCACAGAGGTGCTGCGCGGCGTCGGCCTGAAGCTTCCTTGCGGTCACACTCTTGACACGGTCGCTTGCTGGAAAGCTCAAGACCCGTCTTTAATCCAGTGTGTCGTGCAAGTCGACAAAGTAGTGCCGGGATGTGCTCACGCTGTCAAGGTGTCCTGCCATGTAAACGTTACCAGGGACAGCTATCCTTGCAAGAGCGAGTGTGGCTTTCGGCGGCCTTGCGGTCACGCATGTAAGTCGCTATGCTCGGCATGTCGCGTTAGAAAAGATGGTAAGGTGGTCGAGGAGGATCACAAAGCTTGTCGACAGACCTGTGGCAGATCCTACACATCCTGCAGCCACTCTTGTCGAGCAGCTTGCCATAGCGATGAGGTTTGCCCTCCGTGTCCATCTCCATGCCAAAACCAATGCGTGCACTCAAAGTGTGGCAAGAAATGCCACGAGCCTTGCGCGCCATGCGCAGAGGAGGCGTGTCCATCCTCGTGCCCACATTCAAAGTGCACTATGCCGTGAGTACATGTCACGTTGTGATTATGAAACTTTTCAATGTTTGCTGACATGCGATGACAGTTGCGCCGCTCCTTGCGATTGGATTCCCTGCACCAAGCGGTGTACCGAGGTATTGAAGTGCGGACATCAATGTAAGTTATTTTTCTTCTGGTCAAGTGAGAACGTGTTGACAGTGCCAAGGCCCCTCTGTCTGCGGTGAACGTTGTCCAGCCGAGAAGTATTGCCAGACATGCGCCGCGGATGACATCAAGAATAGGGTGGTCGATCTCATCCTCATGGATGACTACGGTTCAGTGGACCTGGACGAGGAGCCCTGCATCTTCCCAGACTGCGGCCACTTCTACACTTACACGACCATGGACGGACAGATGGGTCTCCGGGATCTTTACGATGTCTCGCCTGAAGGAGTGCCGACGGCCGTCAAATCGGGGTCCCACCCATTCTCGGTGACTAACATCAAAGTGTGCCCCGACTGTCGAGGGTCTCTAAGAAACGTATCCAGATATGGGAGAATCGTTCGACGTGGTCTTCTTGATGAGTCGACGAGGAAGTTCATCAGCTGGGCCCACAGCGTCAAGCAGAAGTTGACAGACGCGTTTTTCGCTGCACAAGACAACCTGCAGAAGATGGAGAAGAATAAATTCAGCTTTCCTACCACGCAGTTGGGGTTTCCCATGCCCCAGTCGGCATTTGCTCTCAGAGGATCTCGGCAGCAACAAATGACCCATCTCTTCAAGCTCACGGGAAATACCAGGCACGCGGTACTCAAGACGCTCCGAAATCAGATCGCCAATTTTCTCGGGTCAGTAAGGAAAGAAGAGCAGCCGTATCAGCGCGTGGCACACTTGGTCTGGCACGTAAACAAGCGGCGGCAAACCAGCGACTACTCATTTGACGAGTCGGCAATCCAAATGGGTGGAATCCTGGACGCCATGACGCTCTCGCTACGGTGTGATCTTCTCCTGGTCTCTGACTATATCAGTCTATGCCGCAACATGACCGACAACGACAGCGACGGTGCCAAGTCCGCCAGTATTGATCCCATGCCATACATCAAGGACTGCAAGCAACTGATTGAGACTGCACGAATGAGAAATTATTCCCGGCTGGAAGTTGAAGGCCACATCTGCCTCGCCATGTTTTGTTACTTTGCACCGCCTGACGATGCTAAGCCGACGACTGACGCACCAGAGGCACCTAAAGCAGAAAACTCATCCACGAAAGAAAGTATGATCAAGCTCGGCGAGGACCACCTTTTGAAAGCTGAGAAGATCATCAAAGCAAATCCGTCCGCAGCCACGATGGCCTCCGAAGTCGAGACCGCGAGGCGCATGCTCCACGACGGAGTCTTCTACAGCGAAGTTTCCACTGACGAAATGCGAGCCGTCTACGCAGCCATGAGCAAGGAGTTCTTGGGAACAGGGCACTGGTACACATGCCGCAACGGACACCCCTTCACCATTGGAGAGTGTGGTATGGCGATGCAGCAGACGGTGTGCCCGGAGTGCAACGCTCCGGTCGGCGGTCGGAATCACTCTTCGGCGGAAGGCGTGAGGCATGCGGTGGAGATTGATGCACTTGCGCGCGGCATCGGAAGAATGGGATTCTGAAGTAAAGTAGATTCATGGAAAACAGTGACCTCTATAAAGGCTTTCACTTGCTGATTGTCTTGCTCGATGGACGCCCGTGATGACGGTCCTTCTTACAATAGACTGGCACACTGGTGATCTTGCTGTGTTGTCCGTCAGCCTACACTTTAGTTTCCGGATTTGTTGTGCATTCTTAGTCCTCATCTTCCATGAATACATATTCAATCGCTGCCTTACTTGCCTCTAAGCACAGCCTCAAGACATCCTTAGACTTTGTCGTATGTGAGAACCTATAGTGACGTCGCCCTATCAATTACGGGAAAGGCGTTGCAAGTGCTCCGTCACGTTGCACATCACCACTCCAAGTTCACACGTTGTAGCATGCAGGCAGTCTTCACTGCATATTAGCCAATACAAGAAAAGCGAGATGAGACTGTAACAATGGTTCGAGACCTCCAAAAATCATTCATGTAGAATACTAGCAATAGCATACATAGGTGTAGGTGGGTGGTCCTTTCTCCCATGGACATTTCAGCACACATCCCGGCTCGCAATGAGCCGCCCAAGAAATTCGGATCAAATCGTGTGGCAACACAACAGTTCTCAATCCACCATTATTGCAATCATTCTTGTGATCATCATGTGTTCCTATAAACTCAACCCCGGTTGATTCTAGACGAAGACAGAACCCTCAAGCCTGAGCTGGTCCAGTAGAAGAAAGGACCTGCGTGGAGCTGGATGTTTTCAGGCTGAAACTGCTGTCGGCAATTGGCGGTCGCGCAATCATTCTTGCTCCAGCCGACGCGGATGTCATCAGACCACCAAACCTGAGGCTTACCATCGACTTGCAGAGTGATCAGGATGGAGCTGAGATCGGTGAAATCGACAGCTGAGAAAGGCGAAAGTGGGCAGCCGGAAGACTGGTCGCAAGCGTTGACCCAGGCTTTCTGGCTGACAGCTTCTGTCTCGGTGGCGTTGGTCGCATCCCATCTGTATCCAGTGAAAGTAAAGACGCAAAGCTGGTTGGGAACCGCAGAGTCGGAGTGGCAACCTAGGTTCATGCCGAAGAAGTCAAATTGGAAGCAAGGAGAAGACGCCAGCTTTCCCATGCCGATCTGCGCAGTGTCGCCGGAGACGTCATCTGAAGAGGTGTTTGACAGAATTGGGGGCACAAACTCCACGAGACGACCGCCAGAGGAGGGCAGGAAGGGCATCAGCGGAGGAGGACCAACAAGGAAGCCCTTGGAGAACCAGAACCGGTGGTAAGGGTTGAAAAGCGGGCCAGACGAGACGTCATCAAACTGCGCGGGAAAGAATCAGCAAGTGAGTGAGATTTTGAGACAGCGGTAGCGGAGTGACTTACATCGAGAACCTGATTGCCAACCTCTGTGGTGCCGGTACAGATGGGTGTCGCAACAGGTGTCAGTGTGGGTGTGCTGAATGTTGCAGTTGTGTTGACATAACGCCTCTGAACCCCGCCAGGCTGAACAAGAGAGGTGAAGACTCCAGTGGTGAAAACTTGTACCACAGAGCTCTGAACGACGACACTCTGCCAAGTAGACACTGAAGGAGTGACGGCAGGAGAGACGGTGACAGCGGGGGCTTCGGCCGTGGATGCGGTTACAGCAGGGCCACCGACCGTGGAGACACCAGCAATGGTAGAGACTCCAAGAATGGTGGAAACGCCAATGATGGTAGAGACAACGGGAGAGCCAGTAGCACCGCCAGTGACAACGCCACCAGTGACAGCGCCGCCAGTGACAGCTACGTCCAAGGCAGATGCGACAATTGTATCGACCTTTGTGACGAGAGACTCGTAAGGGAACGTGTACGTGGTGGTCTCATCGGCGACGACGTTGATGAAACTGGTGGTGAGCACAGTCGTGGACGTGGTGGACTCGGAGCTGGTGCATGAAGTCGAGGTTGCAGCGCCAGGAAGAGCATTGTCAACCGTCGATGGAGCCGGCCAGAGAGTGATGACAGTAGGCGAGTTCTGGGAGCCGACAGCAGCAGTTGCAGGGTCGACAGGGACAGAGTAGCTACCAATGACTGAAGTTGGCGCGCCAGCAACAGTGGTTGGGACGCCTCCATTAGGAGCTCCTTGAGCAACAGTGACAGTGATCTGTGGTCCAGGCAGACCGCCAAAGGGGGGGACGCCAGTCTCAGCCGGATCAGTGTAGCCGCCGGGAAGGCCATTCGTATCTGTCGGGAAAACACCGCCTGCGGGAATCGTGAGTGTAACGGGGATCCCACCACCAGGAAGACCGTTGGTGTCCGTAGGGCTAACACCACCTGCGGGAACTGTGATTGTGACTGGAATGCCAGGAGCACCAGAGCCAGGAGTGCCGGAGCCAGAAACACCAGAGCCAGGAGTTCCGGAGCCAGGAGTGCCTGAGCCGGGAACACCAGTCGAAGGATTTCCAGGTGCACCAGGGATTACAGGGTCACCGTAGCCGCCGGGGATTGTAGGAGGAGTGGTATCTCCGGGGGTTGTAGGAGGCGTTGGCAACGTCAGGACAATCGTAGCAGTGGAAACAGAGACGGAGCTGGGGCCAGCAGAACCATCATCTCCCGGGATGCTTGAAAGAATCGTGGTGTAAGTTGAGGCACCTCCGGCAGGAGACTGAGGAACTGTCAAGGTGAACACGACAATGTTGCCCGGGTCCGAAGAATCAGTAGGTTGGTTTCCATTGCCAATGGTTGGCTGAGAAGCGTACAGAGTTGTGGTGACAACAGTGGAAGGTCCTCCGGCTGAACCGCCCGTAGGATTGGCAGGGACAACCACAGTGGTGGCGCCAGCTGGGCTAGCAGGAACATAGACAGTTGTGACACCCGAGCCTCCTGTTGAGGGAGAACCGGGAGTGGGAACTGTGTAAGTCGATACAACGGTTTGGATGGAGTAGCTCAAGGAACCATCTGGACCAGGAACCATGGTGGGAACGTAGCGAGTCGTGGTACCAACAGAGCCGCCGCTACCAGGGCTTCCAGGAGCGGGGGTTGAAGCTGCAGGGACTCCAGTGACTGGTCCAGTGCCGATTGCAGAAGGGAAAGTGACAGTGAAGCAGGTAACAAGTGTGTCGACGACAGGCGTTCCTTGACCAGAGTCAGGACGAGTCCGGTAGAGGGTGGTAGTGAAGTCTGTGACAGAGCCCCCACTGCCGTTGTCGGGGCCAGAAGGAGTGTTGGTGACGGCAGGCCCAGTGGCAGCCGGTGCAGTTAGGGTGTAAGTGAACAGCTCGCCAGACGCAGGATCGACAGCACCGTCCGTTACAGCAGAGCCAGGAACCGACCCGGTTCCGGCAGGCTGTGGGAATGTGACTGTGAAGGTTGCAACAACCGAGTCCGCGGCGGGTGTAGCTTGACCTGGATTGGTGTCTGTCCTGTACAGCGTCGTGGTGATCACAGTGACACCCGCGGTGTTGCTGCCAGAGCCATTGGGGTCACCAGTAGCAAACGGGCAGTCGGTAGTGGCAGATTGAGAAGGGTTCCAAGGGAAGCCGGGAGGGCCAGGAAGCGTAACAGTTGTCGTTCCTTGACCACCGGGGCCGGAGTTACCAGGGGATACGGGAGAACCAGGGAAACCAGGGGAACCACCATTGGGGTCGCCAGAACCCGGGGAGTAGACAGTGGCAGTGACAACAGTGACAGGAGCGCCTGTAGCAGGGGAAGACTCCCAAGGCTTGGGCCCGGTGAACTGAGATCCTCCAGGAGGGGGATCGTAGCTGTCAATGGTGACAGTGAGAGTGGCCGGAAGACCGGGGGAACCAGACTGGGCAGGAGACCAAGGGGAAGGGGCAGAGAACGGAACGGTTGCAGTGACAGTCTGAACGACGATCGAGGGACCAGGGTCGTTGTTGGAGTCAACCGTGATGAAGACCGTGGTGGTCGCCGCCGCGGGACATGTTGGCTGGGCATAAGTGCCAGCACTGAGATGTATTGTCAGCTTCAAACTCGAATGGGACTGGAGAGCAAGAAAAGACTTACACCATGGCCACCATGGCAAAGAGGGAAGCCCGCATCTTGGGCAATCGGAGGTGCCGGATCTAGGTGTAGGAAGAACACGTAGAATACGTAGGATACGCTGATCGGATTGAATACGCAACGAATGACGCGAACAACACAGACAATGACAACGCAGAGGGAAAAGGATTGGGGCGAAAGAGATGAGAGAGAGGATGAAGAGGAGAGGAAGCAGAGAGCAGAAATGGGGGGTCCTTGGGGGATTAAGTAGGACGGGGAAGAACCGGAGAGAATTCTGTAGAGCTGGATCGTGGGAAGGAAGTCATCGTCCTGTCTTTCCTCCTTTGGAGGTCCTGGAACCAGCTGTGGCCGATGACGCAACCCAACGTACGATATACTTTGCAACAGAGGAAGGAAGGTGTCGGTAGCATCGCGAAGAGTAATACTCGTCTTGCTTCACTGACAAGGCCCCGGTTCCATGCCGTCAACATCAAAACGTCCTCTCAAAACAACCGCTTGCTCTCCTATCATATATTCAAAGAGTATACGGAAAAATGCAGCCCAGCATAAGTCCTCGTGGACCCAACCGTTGCTCTGGTATGCGCACCTTGAAGTGCTCCCAGTTCCGAGGCACTGGGCTGGCTCCTTCCTGATCTTCTTCCCGGGATCTAGGCATTGTCCCTTGAAGTCCAGTACGTACTCAGTCACCAACATGACATGTTGCCATGGGATTCTAGAAGGGAGAAAAGAAGGAGGTTAGGTGGGTAGGAGGCAGGAGCACGAGGCCGTCCGGCTGCCTACCTTCCTTCGACGCGGTTTCTTGCGGTACAGCAACTTGGGCGAGAGACCACCTTCCACGTCAGGCCACGAGACGGGAAGTATGGGTGGCAGATGATCACGCCATCATTTCATGGCAAGCTGGGGCCAAGGGAAGGTACGTTGGGTGCAAAATGTCAGCAGAAAGGGCTCAAGAAGTTACTTCCCAGGGCATAAAAGACAGAGTGTACGAGCTAATGATGGTGCTCATGTCTGGCGTGATGGAGGCATGCCGGAACGATAAT